AGGGCGAGAGAAGACAAGGTGATAAGAATCTTTATGCCAGAGCGACAGCACAGAGTCTCGCCATAGTAGCTACGGCGGAGCGCCAAATGGAAGTTTGCAACACGCGGGATGAATGAGAGCGGTAGGGGGATTAAAGCGTCTAAGGATAGTGAGTTAATCATCTCGGATATTGTAAATAGGGGGGGCAGGCTGCGCGCGCCCGGCGTGTCGATGTGGTGAGGCACGTACTGCTCGTCGACGGCCTGCACCGACCTCACGTCGTCGAAGGTGGCGCCGGAGAGGAAGAAGGTGAAGGCGTTGATCACGCCCATGAGCGCCGGCGAGTGCGGGTCGCGCGCCGTCGTGTCGCAGTACTTGTGGTGCGAGCGGTGGCGCGACCCCCACCAGAGCGGGCCGCCTGCGGGCGCGGCGTGGACGCGTCGGTGGATGCGGCGTGAGCGTGCCGGGGCGCGCCGGGGCGGGCGGAGAGGGCGCGGAGCGTGCGGGCCAGGCAGCTCGGGTGGTGGCCAGAGGTGCACGTCAGGGCGGGGCAGGGCAGGGCAGGGCAGGGCACCTTGGTACGCAAAGCAGCCGAGGCAGCCGAGCAGCAGCGAGGTGGCTGGGCCGACCTTGAAGGCCGCGTGGGACGCGTACCGGTGAAGGACCACCGACATGCACACGCCGTTCTTGAAGAAGAGGGCGCCCCAGAAGGCGGCGACAGCCAGCAGCGGCTTTGGGACAATCGCGCTGCTGAAGATGCACGAGAGGGAGGTGAACCAGACGGGCAGCCAGATCATGAGCATCAGGTACTGGATCACGTTGGGGCTGCCGGCGTACGAGTGCACGTCACTGCTGGTGCGACCGAACGCCAGCGCCAGGTCGCCGCGCCCCATCCGGTAGCCCGAAAAGGCGAGGTAGGCGTACAGGAGCGCTGCGCAGCAGATGTACGCGGCGCTGCCGTGCGACATGAGAAAGACGGCCGGGCCGACGCCAGTGAAGGGCATCAGAAGGATGAAGGGCCGCAGACCGACCCAGAACGGCGCCGGCGCCGGGAAGCCCTGCGCAATCTTGGCGGCGGTATCGGGCGGGTGAATCGGACGCGCGCTCGTGGCAAGCTCGTACTCGCGGCGCAGCAGATCCGTGAGGCTCCTCTCCTTGGATGGCGGGTACCGCGGCGCCGGCTCCTCCGACTCGCACCCTAGAAGCGTCTCGGTCGAGGGCGTCTCCACGACGGTCTGGGAAGACATTGTCGAGCCCTTGCGATTCAGTTGGGTTGATTCTGATTCGGTCACGTCACGCCCCTTCCTCGCCGACCGATAGTTCTTTTCCCGCACACCAACAGCCTTCTGATTCGGTCACGTCACGCCCCTTCCTCGCCGACCGATAGTTCTTTTCCCGCACTAGTGGGGGACCTGCGGCGGACCCGCCTCTGTTGTTCGGGCAGTGAGAGACGCAGGATCTGCACGCCAAAGTGGGGCCACTCCGCATTTTCATTTTGGTTTTGGGTTGTCGGAGATCATCCATCAGCACTCATAAGTCAGTCAAAGCAGTCGTGGCACGTGAGCAGAGTCGCTGCATGCAACGGCGCCGCCATGATGGACTACAAGGACTGGGGGTTCAACCGGGAGGCAGGGGGTTCGACCTGGCGACGGAGGACCGTGGGCCATCGCGGGGACTGTATCGCCGGAGGCGAGGCAGGCAGATCCGGATGGTCTTCACGCCGGTGGGAGGCACCGAGGCGTCTGGGACGCTCCTCTCTACCTTAGCTCCTGAGGGGCGCGTGGTTTTAACCACGTAGTATGACTATAGCCCACCACAGACACCCTCCCTGCTCCACACGTGTGCACACACCCTCACCCTCTCCTCTCTCCTCTCTCTCTCTCTCTCCTCTCTCCTCTCCTTGTCTGCTGTCTGCCTGACTCAGGCGCAATCTGCCGATGCGAGATTGTGTGTGGGCTGCTCCTAGGGGGCCCTGTGCGATCCGACGGGTAGGGGGGCTGTGCCCGGGCGGTGTCCGGTGTGGAGTCCCCTTCTGATCCCGCCTGAGATGTTGGGTGCGAGGTCGTGGAAGCTTTGATCCCAAGGGGGGGAGCTGATCCCACTCGTAACCAACTCTCAGGGGCAGTAGGTGGGCGAGCTTCAGGCGCGCCCATCTCGATCGACAAGGCGTCGCTACGCGCGGTCTTCCGCGGGGGGAGCTTCGTCGACGGGTGCGGGAGCGCGGCGCAGCCAGTGCCGTGGCGATGCCTCCGGCTGTTTGCGGGGGGCGGCTTGCTGCTCGCTGCGATGGAGAAAAACTCGTCTCGCCACACGCCAAGGGCTTATGCTCTGGCGAGACGTGAGGCGCATGCGCCCAGGATGGGAGGGGGCATGCGTAACGACACTGCTAGAGATGCCTTTCGGGGCCCAGAGATAAAACTTCTGATGCCATGCGTGACCTAGTAGTGTCCCCAGCTATGGGCGTGTCCACGTTGGAGCCAGGTGTGGTGTGGGCGCGAGAATAGCTCCGCCGTTCATGGAGGCAAAACCGATGCGAGTCGACTGGTGTGTGTCGTCGTGGTTTCGTATCAAGAATACTCACTCACACCAGCCAACACGCAACAGAACCGATGTCGCTCTCTCTCTCTCTCTCTCTCTCTCTCTCTCTCTCTCTCTCTCTCTCTCTCTCTCTCTCTCTCTCTCTCTCTCTCTCTCTCTCTCTCTCTCTCCTCTCTCTTTCCCAGTCTCTCTCAGGTGCGTCTCTCTCTCTCTCTCTCTCTCTCTCTCTCTCTCTCTCTCTCTCTCTCTCTCTCTCTCTCTCTCTCTCTCTCTCTCTCTCTCTCTCTCTCCTCAAGCAAGACCTCAACGGCGAGGACACGCTCAGGCCGCACCTTTCTTTAGCGAAGCCCACAGAGGGGAGACTCCTACCACCGCCCCTGCCAGCCACCCCACGGCGAGCGCCTCGGCCGCCTCTTTCCGCATTCAGTGTGGGTGTGCCCGTGCGTGGTAGTGAGAGAGAGCTGAGTGAGAGGCTGCCAGTGAGAAGCTGGAGGAAGGTCGCTGGTGTAGGAGTCCACCGTGCTGCAGCCTGTCGCTGTCCCTTTTGTCAGGAGCAGGAGAACTACGTACCGGTAGGAGAGCGCACGCAACCAGCCAGTAGGAGGCCTGAGGGAGGGTGTAGAGGATGTAGAGTGTAGAGCGCTGTAGAGCTGTAGAGATGTAGAGCGCTGTAGAGCTGTAGAGCTCTACATCCGCCGCGGGACGAAGCGCCTCCGTTGTAGAGCGATGTAGAGGCGCTCTACAACGTGAAATCTCTACAACAAACTCTACATCATAAGCGGCGAACGAGGCACGGTCGCTCTCGGCGGCGCAGGGTACGTGCTGAGCTGGCCGGCGCTATTGCGCATGCGGCCGAGGATCGACGGCTGCGAGGCCGAGTACACCGGCTGGGCAGGCGACATGCGCGTGGGCAAGTGCCTCAGCTTGACACTCAACACGCAGATCCCGGTGCGAGACTACCGCGGGCTGCACACGGAGCCGCCAGAGTACTTTGTGTGGGCTGGCGCCTCGCTGCTACGCGAGAGGCGCGGGCTGTGGTTCCACACCTCGGCGCAGGAGCACGCGCCCCTCTCCTTCCACCACCTCTCCGGCGAGCGGATGCGGAGCCTCGCACACAGCCTCGTCGTCGCGTCACGCGGCGCCCGCGGCCGGGTGTGGGAGCACGACTTCTCGGAGCTTGGCTTCCGCGAGCACCGCTTCGCCGTCGGGGTCGGGAGCGAGGCCGCGGCGGGCGCGCGGGAGCTCGCAGAGGGCGGCGTTGAGGCAACCCCAGCCGGCATGCGCCTCCTCTTTGGCTTTGCGATTGAGGAGGCGCGTCCAGGTGCCCCGCCGGCATCTCACGGCGACCGGCGGAGCGGCTGGCGCACGCTCTACGACCGCGTCATCTCATTCGAGAGAGTCGGCTCGGATCGCTTCGAGATGCGGCTCGGCGTCGCAACCTCGGCCGACACGCGCCCGTCGGCGCGTGTCAAGCCAACCTTCCCCTTCCCGCGCGACACCTGCCCGCACCACCCTCGTGGCGATGTGCGGCTCAAGCACACCGTCGTGCGCATCTGCTGTGCTGGCGGCTGCGTCGCCGCGGCCGCCGCCCCACCACCACCACCACCAGTGCCCGTCGCCTCGACGGCACCGCCCGAGCACGGCCGCGTGACAGCCGCTTGGCTCGAGCCGGACGGCTGCTCGCTCGCCCTCGACCTTGCCCTTCCCACCTGCCCGCCCGCACGGCGGCGCTTCTTCCGCAGCCTCTCGGTCGGCACCGGCTGTGGCAGCGACGACGTCGCCAGGCACGGTGCGGCACGGCGCGCCTGGCGATGGCGCGGCGGCGAGCCGCTGGCCGGCGGCGCGAGCGGGGACGTTTGGTTTGTGGTGGCGTCGGAGCTGCCCGTTTGGGTCGGACGGCCTGAGGTCCGCATCGACCCGCCGGACGGCCTGCGAGTCGAGGTGGGTGGCTCGCTGGTTGGTCCCGCGAACCACAGCCTGGTCGGACCGGCCGCACCCGCCAGCCTGCTCGTACGCGCGCATTGCCGTTCCGAAGCACGCGAGGACGTGGTGGTGCGCGTGCGGCTGGCCGTCGAGCGGGGGGAGTATGAGGCGCTGCGATTCAGCCTGCTTCGCAGGTGCGAGCTGCGAGGTGCTCGCTCTCGCTCGCGTGCGACAGAGTCGGAACCGAATTTTAGCTAGAGTGTAGAGGTGTGAACATAAACCGCGCGCACCACACCGCCAACTCGCTACTTTCGATGGCTCTCATAATACACAACAGTGACCACACGACAACAAACATGTACATGTGTCTGGGAATCGCGCGGCGTCCGGCGACACCGCACACGATGAAGCAGCAAATCCACCTTTGTCTTCCTCCTCATCCTCGCTTATGTCTCTCTGATCTTCCTTGGCCGAGCTGAGCCGTAGAGAAAGCGGCCCGTCCCCGTCCCGCCGCCCGAGGGCACCGTCACCCGAAACCGCGCTCGAGAACCCTATCTCCGCCGGCCCCCTCGCCCAAGCCTAGCAGCGCCGCCCTCTCCCGTCCCTCTCCCGTCAGAGGTTGGTCTGTCCGTCCTCGAGGACGCCCTCGTCGATGGTGCCGTCGTTGCGGATGCCCTTGGCGGTTGGGCCGAGCACGAACCGCTCCTCGTACGGCGGGTTCCACCTGCGCACACCCGCTCGCCGGCTCAGAGAGGGCGGCGGCGAGGGCGGTGACGAGGGCGGCGGCGGCGAGGGCGGTGACGAGGGCGGCGGCGGCGAGGGCGGCGGCGACGGGGGCGCCCCTCCTTCGCACTCTCCTACCAGGGCTAGGTCGCGCACCCGTCGTACGTGATTCGGATGACGGTGTGGAGCGGGATCTCGACCTTCGGCGCCTGGTGGCGCGGCTTGCCCATCAGGTACGAGTAGAGCAGCCGCAGCACGGCCTGGTGCGAGACGAGCAGCAGCGGCTCGTGGTACGACTCGAGCTCGTGCACGAGCGGGTCGAGCCGCGCGAGGATGTCGAAGTACGACTCGCCGCGCGGGTAGCGGTACCCGATCTTGTCCATCGAGCGGAGTGTCGCCTCGCTCGGCGCAATCTTCTTGATCTCCTCGTACGTCATCCCCTCGTACTCGCCCGCGAAGATCTCGTCGAGGTTGCGGTACACGCGCGGCGACCTATACGGCGCGACCGCGGCGCCGGCTGCGGCCTTGCCGCGCCCCTCCCCAGCGCGGCTCGGGACACAGGACGCGCGACATTTGCTCCCACACCGGCTCATTCAGCACCCCCTCGTCGCCCTGCAGGTAGCGCGGCGGCAGCTGGCGCGAGCGTTGCCGAGAGCGGAAGCGGTGGGACGGCGTGCCGCCCGAGGGCGTTGCGGCGTCCGTCTCGTGCGAGCCGCGGCGGGGCGGCGAGCTGAGGCCTACACGGGAGGCTGCTAGAGGCGTCGCCGCCGCTTCCAGCGGGGCGCTGCGTTTGGCGGGCGGCGAGGGGAGGCCGTCCGGGCTGTCGAAGGAGGAGGCGGGCACGATCGGGTGCGGGATGTGGGTGGCGGTGAGAATGGTGCGCTGGAGGGAGGAGGTCCTGCGGTGGAGGGGGGAGGGCGGCGCGGCGCAGGAGCGGATGCGCGCCAGAGGCGGCATTTTGTCAGCACGCCGTGCTGGTAGAAGATGTGGCGCGGCACCCACTGCGCGAGCCTACAGAGGCGGCGTCCGGGAGAGAGAGAGAGAGAGCTGCGGCGCGAGTCGCGTGCCACCGAGAGAGCTGCAGCGGCTGCGCGGGCCTGCGCGCGTACTCTTGGCCCGCGGGGGAGAGGGGCGGGTTGCCGCCGAGCTTCCCGAGGACGTTGTACTCAGACTGGCCGTGGCGGGAGAGGTAGATGACGTGCGGCGTCGGGTGGATCACCGAGAGGAACTGGGCGATTCGCATCCGCAGGTAGCCGTGCATCCGGTTCGTCACAACCTTGTCTCCGTAGTTGATGAGCTTGATGTACGAGAGGTCGTCCTCGGAGCCGTCCTCCTGCATCGACACGAAGATGCGCTCATTATTGATTTTTAATATTACTAATACTGATTAACTATCCTCCTGCATCGACACGTAGATGCGCTGGAAGCGGCGCGCGCGGTCCTCAAACTCACGCAGGCACTCGTCCGGCAGCTCGTCCTCGTACATCGCCGGACCCGCCGACTCGCGCGATGCGGTGGGGCCGTTCTTCGCCCGCTCGCGCGCCCGCAGGTTGGCCTCGAGGATGTCTGCGCGGTCGACAATCACCTCGATGAAGATGAGCTTGGCGCCGAGGGCGCGGTCCTTTGCGAGCGTCTCGGACGCCCACCTCCGCCGCTCCTTGGACGTGCCCGACCACTTCTCCTGCAGGGCAGAGCCACGCGGCGGGTCAGCAGGCTCACCGTGCTGCTGTGTCCGTGGCGGCGGCTCCGGCGCTGCTCCTTGAAGCACGCAAAGGTGTCGTTGGCGAAGAGGATCGCAACCTTGCCCGAGTCGACGTTCTTCCGCCGGCGGTCGCTCGGGTGGACGAGCAGCTCCTCCTCGCCGTGCGTGGCCAGGCTCTCCGCCAGCTGCACCTCGGCCGACCCCTCCCGCACCACCACCGGCCGCACCTCTGGCGACGGAGGGCTCGAGCTGCTCGCAGGGGCGGACCTCCCGCTGCCCGCCCGAGGCACCGTCATGTTGCGGTCCGCGGCGGACGACGTCGCGTTCATGAAGGCCTTTATCTCCTCGAACATGAACATGGCGTTGTGGTCCGAGCCGGGCGGCCCGCCGGCTCGGTCCATCACCTCGTTTACGTCGAAGAGCTTCACCTCTGCGCCGTGGAAGAAGGAGAGGTACTTGGAGAGACGCTGGGCGATGAAGGGCTTGCCTCGCTCGGGAAGCCCGATGAGGCAGAGGACGTGGCGCACGCCGAGCAGGCCGGCGACCGCCGCTATCGGCGGCGGCACCGCCGTCGGCAGCGGGTTGTCGCTCGTCGCCTTGAGCAGGTGGCTCTGCGACTGCACGTAGGCGTGCTGCGCCCCGGGACTGGTGGAGCGCGCGTCGCCGGCGGCGGGTCCGACGTCCAGCGGCAGCGCAGGAGGGTCGGGCATCGTGAGCTTCTTGGCGCGCGGCGACCCAAGGTTAGGAGAAGAATTCTTAAGATAAATCTCTCTCACAGCACACTGGCACGACAAGGGCGCAGACTGGCGCGGACTGGCACACACACAGGCTCACCAAAGAAAAAGCACGACCTCGACTTAAGTTAACCCTGTCCTCCTCCCCTATCCCTCGTTTGGGTGGTCTTTTTTCTTTCTTTTAACTTAAGTTAAGGTTGCTCCCGGCCCAGTGGGGATTTTGGCCTACTCAGTGAGAGAGAGAGATTTTAGAAAACCAACAAGAAATCACGACTGTCACAGTGATTTGGGCTCGGCAGCTTGTCAGCCCTCAGCCGAAGCTGGGCAGCTGTCTTCTTTCTTCTCAGTGATCGTCTAGAAATCCTAAATGGCTGTATCTCTCTCTCGTTTTGTTTTGTTATCTTTTGTGCCTAACTTGTAGAGCACCTTGAAAAACTACCGGGTAGAAACAAAATTGTCAGCAGTCCACCTCCGGGAATGTACGTAAGAGCCACATACATTGACAGCACCGCGTACCCTCCCCACTCCCGCCTCTCATTTGAGAGAGAGATTTTTAGCAATACCAAACTTTGTTGCTCATTTGTTATTTATTTAGTTTGTTTTGTTCTCATTTGTGTCACACCACGCGGAACGCAATCTCCATCGCTTCGGTGAGGAGGGGGTGAACCGCGCCATCCTCGATCGCCGTGCAAAGCTCGCTTCCGAGCACCGAGCTCTCACGCCGCGCGTAGGGCCCTTAGGGGCCTAGAGAAAGAACACAACCCCCTCTCCCTTTTTCTTTCTCCCTTTTGTCCCAGTAAGCTAAAAGTACGTACATTGAAAATATGTCTTGGAGAGAGATTTTCGATGTATGTAGCTCTTACGAACATACCCGTGAACTGCTGACAGGGTTTGTTTGCGATGAGGAGATTTTTAGCAATACCACTCGATGAGGTGGGGATCCGTGAGCAGATTCCCAGATTCTCCAGATTCCCCTCGAAAACCGCCCATTTTAATTCAAAGAAAGAAAGAAAGAAAACAGACAACCCAAGGGAGGGATGGGAGGACGGCACGCATTTTAATTCATTGCGGCCGCGGGTTTGCTCGGATTTACTTTTCCCTCGAAGACATACTAGTTTTTTGGCGTTCTGGTGCCTACAAAAAATATGATCGAGCTGACCACAGGGTTTGCGGCGATCGTCCTACCAGCAAAGCGAGATGGAGAGAAAAAGGTTGGTACTAGGGTATCGCATCGCTCCTTGATGCTCCCTTCGGCGCAGCACACAGTTGAGACCAAGGTCCTGCGCATCCTGGCCGCCGTCCCCTCTCCATCCTAGTTGCCGTCCCCTCTCCGTTTGAATGGCCTGGCCGCAGGACTCGCCGGCGGACCCCCTATGCCTGCTGGAGGACACCGACGAGTACGCTCCCTCGCCCGTCGCCGGCTTCCTCAAGGTGCTCGGCAACGGCGCTTCCGGGACGGTGTGGCTTCTCGGCACCGTCGGCGGCACCGTCGGTGGTGATGCTGCTGCTGCTGCTGCGTGTGCGAGGACCGCTGGGAGTGCTGGCGGGGAGGCGTGCTGCGGCGGCTGCATCGTGTGCGGCTCGGGCGAGCTCGGTAACAGGTGCCGCGGCGACCGCTGCTGCGCTGACGAGCGCTCTGCGAGCCGTGCTCCCGGGAGCAGCGCCCTCGCGCTCGGCGGCGGCAGCTGGACGCACGGTGGCCGCTTCGCACTCAAGGTCTCTTCGCGCGACGAGGGCGGCGAGGCCACCTGCAGCGACCCGCGGACGGAGGCGGAGCTCATCACCCGCTCGCGGCACGACTTCATCGTCCGCTCGTTTGGGTCGCACTTCGACGTGCGGAACGGCAAGACGTACCTGATGACGGAGGCGTGCATGGGCGGCGACCTCGGCTCGCTCCTCGCCCGCCTGCGCCGCGCGCAGGAGGGGTGTCCTCCGCCCGGAGGCTGCCGGCGGCGCGGCAGGCTGCCGGACGAGGTTGCGCGGACCTATGCTGTCTGCGTCGTGTCTGCGATCGGCTACCTGCACGAGCAGGGGGTGATGTACCGCGACCTCAAGCCGGACAACCTCGTGGTCGACGGGCGCGGCCTGCTCAAGCTCGTCGACTTTGGGCTCGCCAAGCGGTGGCGCGGCGAGGGAGGGCGGGGAGAGGGGGGCGGGGAGGGAGCGGAGGCGAGCCGCGCGCGCTCGGCGTGGGATGGCCCTCGAGCGCCCTCCCGGAGCCCTGTCGGCACCCCCTCCTCTAGGCGGCTTCGTCTCGCACGCTCTGCGGCACGCCCGAGTACCTGGCGCCAGAGATGGTTGCGATGCAGGGGCACGGGCCGCCAGTCGACTGGTGGGCTGTGGGCGTGCTTGTGTACGAGATGACGCACGGACACACGCCCTTCTCCGACCGCGGCGCCGTCGACGACGTGCTGCAGCTCTACCGCAACATCGGGAACCCCGCGTTCCGCGTCTGCTACGACGCGTCTCTCCCGCCGCCGCTCCTTTCTTTCGCCAAGCGGCTGCTGCGGCGCAACCCGGCGACCCGCCTCGGCTCGCCAGCGGACGGGGCGGCCGCCGGCTCGCAGGCCGTCCGCGCGCACGAGTGGCTGCGAGACGTGGCGTGGGAGGCGCCAGGGGCGTGGCGCCGCCTCGACCCGCTCTCGCTGCAGCCGACGACGCCTGGCGCGGCCGGAGAGGTGGGCGGCTGCAGCGAGGAGCAAGCCGAGCAGCAAGCCGAGGAGCAGGCTGAGGAGCTGAGCGGGAGGGGCACCGAGCGGGCGGTGCCGGTGCCGGTCCCGCAGCAGCAGCAGCCGCCGCCGGCGGTGGGGGGCGAAGAGGGGAGCGGCGAGGAGGGCAGCCCGCTCCGCCGCGCGCCAGGGCTGGCGCCGTCGCCAAAGCCGCGCAGCCCGCGCCGCAGATCCCACGACTTGAGCCGGGGCCGGCACAGCGCCGCGCCTGCGCAGCGGCGGAGGCAGAGCCACGATCTCGCCACGAGGTCTCCCTACTCGCTGATGACGCGGATGCTGCTGCTGCAGCAGGGGGGGTCGGCGCAGTGGGTCCGCAAGGCGTCGAGCCTCGCCGAGGGTGGCGAGAGCGAGTGGGGAGACAGCTTGGGCGGCACCGCCGCCGCCGCCGCCGCCGCCGTGCGCTCTCCCCTCCCGCTAGATTGCGAACGGCTGGTTGCCTTCACGGCCGGCTGGGCGAGCGACGGGCTGCTGGCGCAGGAGCAGCCCGTGCCTCTCGCCACGCCGACGTCGTGAGGAGAGGTGCGTTCGCGCGAGGTGGACTGTGTGGTTGTGCTTATATGGTGTGCCGCGGCGGGCGGTCAGAGTGTGTCGGTCTCGCGGACACCGGCTTGTGTGCATGGCCGAGGGGGCGTGTGCGCTGTCGGCTGTCGCGTGCGCATGGGTGAGGGTCGCGTTTTAGATTTTAGCATACCTCATGCGATTTTTTCAACACGTATCCCCTCGTCTCGCACACAGACCTCAGACGCTATCCAGGAGTATCCTCTGTAACGTGTGTGAGTCCATGCAGAGCACAGAGGCACTTTGACGCGAGGGTGAGCGTGTTGCGTGTATGTCTGTGGTGTGCGTGTGGCACGACGTTCCGGTCACCTCTATACCGCGCACGCCAAGCGATGCCGCTCCCCCATGCGAGGCCCTCGGAACATCGTGACGCCTGCCTGGCAGCGGGGCGATTCGCCCTCACGCCCTCCTGATGACCTGGTCGTCGTCGAGCGGGACGAAGATGAGGTCTCCTCCGTCGAGCTCCACCTGGTAGGGCGACACGCCCCCTGCGCGCCCCTCCTCGGGCGTGTTCCTGTAGAGCTGCGCGACGACCCGCCCCTTTGCCCACTCGTCCGGGGCGACCTTGCACTGGACGTGGGCCCCGACCTCGAAGCGGAGCGCCGCGCGCCTCTGCGCGTCGAGCTGCGGGGTGGCGAGGCAGGCGCTGAAGCCGGCGCGCAGCTCCTCGTGCTGCAACTTCTTGCCGATGAAGACGAGCCTCGACTCGCGCGGCTCGCCCTCGGCCCACTCGCCGCCGAGCGCGCTGTTGAAGATCATGTGCACGCCCTGGAAGACGCACTTCTTCGGGCTGCCTACGAACAGACGCCTCACAGCAGCCTCAGCGAGGGAGGGGCGGTGTGAGGTCGAGGCGGCTCCGTGGCGCCCGCCCGCGATGGCGAGGATGCCCTTTGTGCGGAAGATGTCGGCGCCCCGGTCGCGCAACAGGTCTCCGATCCATCCCTCGAGCAGCTCGGCGTCGACCTCGCCCGGCTGGACGATGGCGAGCGAGCTGACCGACGCGTCGTGCTCGTGCTCCGCGTCCGTGTCGAGGAAGCCGTCGTCCATCTCGAGCGTGCGCTGCAGGTCGAAGGCGCGCAGCTCGAGCACGTCGCCGACGGCCACCTGCGACTGCTGGCAGCGCTGGATGGGCGCAAACGAGTTGATGGCGCGCAGCCGCCCCTCCACCCTCGCGAGCTCCGCCTAAAGGACAGTGTCCCGGCAGGGTCAGGGAATGTTCCAGGCAGCCGCCGCCTCGGCTCGAGCCGCCTCGTCGACCAAGTCCACCTTGTTGAGCAGCAGCCGGTAATTAATTAATTAGATCTCAGCTATGTAATTAATTGCCCTCGTCGACCAGGTCCACCTTGTTGAGCAGCAGCCGGTCCGCGAAGGCGACCTGTGAGAAGGGATGCGGCGTGAGGCGCGAGGCGTGAACAGGTCCGACTTGTGGAGCAGGGCCCGGTCGGCGAGGGCAGCACCTGCTCCACCGCCTCGTTCTCGGCGCCCTCGGCCTTCTCCTCGTCGAGGTGCTGCTCGATGTGCTTGGCGTCGACGAGGGTCACGATCCCGTCGAGCCGAAAGCACTCCTGCACCGACTCGTCGACAAAGAAGGTCTGGGCGACCGGCGCAGGGTCCGCCATCCCCTGCAGTGGCAGTCACCGAGGGGTCGTAATGCTGGCACAGGACGTGGCGGCTGCAAGACAGGCACACCGTCGTCTCGATCACGACGGCGTCGATGTTGAGCTTGCCGGAGCTCACCCTCTCCGAGATCCGCTTGAGCACGACAATGAGGTCCTGCCGGACGGTGCAGCAGATGCAGCCGTTCATCATCTCGATGATCTCAGGCTCAGCCTCCTCGCGGGCGTTCTTCCCAAGCAGCGCGTCGTCGATACCAACCTTGGGTGAGAGGGAGGCAAGCGCGGTGACCACGTGCGGGCTCGGCGCCCGCTGGCATCAGCGACCAGGCGTGTGCGCGCCTCTCCAAACTCGTTCTCGATTACAGCGAGCCGCTTGCCGTGCTGTTTCGTGAGGAGGTGGTTGAGCAGGGTCGTCTTACCACTGCCGAGGAAACCGGTAAGCACAGTCACCGGGATGCGCTGGTCTTTGACTCGTGCATTCGCCACGAGGCCGGAGAGGAGCGGAACGAGGAGGAGAAATGCGCACATACAACCGCGCAAGTGGTGTGTTCTCGAGGTTCTCGAGGTGGATATCCTTCGCCGCGCTGCTTCGCCGCCTTGAGTAGCGGTGATGAGGGGAAAGAAATCATAAGCCGCTCTGATTTATTTAGATCCCCTGTGCCCGTGCCCAGCCCTCTCCGCGCCGCGATGCGCCCTCCCCCCTCGCTTTTGCAAAATCCTGCAAAGGTGGGGACGTGTCTGTCCTCGACCCAGCCCTAGCTTGGGATGTCCGGTTTATTTATTTATTTCTGATTTATTTATTCCCGCCAACTGAAGTCAATTCTTGACTAGGGGCCTCCGGGGAGGAGCGGCCTTCGTCTCTCGAGGTCTCTACGCAAGGCCAATCAAAGGACAAAGCGGCGCTTTTTTTGTTCACGTACGGAGAGCGATGGGTATTTCTCTATCCGCGTATTTCTATTTGCCCTCAACAGATGAAGTGGCTATTGCCGTTGAGGAGGACACTGCCAGTTAAATATGGGTCACGCTCGCTCTCTCTTGCAGCAGCAGCACTCCCCCGGTTCCGGTGCCGCGCGCGGGTCTCTCTCTCATCTCTCTCTGCCATACTGCACTCCTTACTCCTGCGGCACAACGGCTCGCCTGTCGCTGCTCGATCGGACGCCTCCCGCCAGTGTGAGTGGCTCCAAACGGAGCCCTATCCCATCGCCGCCGCTACGCACCGGTCTGCGGCGGCGGCGGCGGCGGCCGCACAGCACGAATCAAGGATGCCGTCGGCGGAGGGGCGCGCCTCTGGCTGCGGGCTCATCATGCTCCGCAGCAGGCGCCCCATCTCGGCGCCGCAGTCGGCCGGCGGCGGCACCGACCCCGACCGCAGCTCGTCCCAGCGCGGCCCCGAGCCAGGCAGGCTCTCTGCTGTCCGCACCTCGTACAGCACCATGCCGAAGGAGAAGATGTCCGCGGCGGTGGAGGGCTTCGACTCGAGCAGGTCGCGCGAGAGGTACTTTGCGTCCCCCTCCTGCTCGTTCCACGCCTTGAGCGCCGCCGCCTGGCCGAGGTCCCCGATCTTGAAGACGCCGTCCGACGACAGCAGGATGTTGTCCGGCTTGATGTCGCAGTGGATCACGCCGTGCGCGTGGATGTGCGAGAGGCCGCGCGCGACGTGGCGCACGAGCTCCCACACCCGCGCCTCGCCAGCCACGCACGCGAGCGCGCCGCCCTCGCGCAGCAGCAGCTGGCCGAGCGTCCCTCCGGGGCAGAGCTCCATCTGCACGTAGAAGAAGGACGCGTCCTGCCACGCGCGGTGGTACTCGACCACGTTGGCGTGCGCGGGCATCGAGTTTGCGAGCTGCACCTCGCGCAGGTACTCTGCCCGCTCGCCGCGCGACCGGAACTCGCGCTTGGACCGCTTGATGGCGTAGTACTCTGCGGGCCGCATCTTGTGCTGGACGGCGTACACGTCCGAGAAGGAGCCGGAGCCGAGCGGCCGGAGCCAGACGAAGTGGTCGTCGAACTTGAAGCCGTCGAGCGCCTCGGCGGGCACGGAGAAGGAGGCGGAGCGCTTGGTGCTGGATACGAAGAGGACCTGGCGGCGAGGGGAGGGGTGGGTCGGGATGGCGAGCCTCCCTAGGTGGGCGAGTGTGACATGGTTATATTCCTCTTTTTTCTTCTCTTAACCGCCCTTTCTTTTTACTATTCATTTTCTTCTCCCTTTTGTTCTCCCTCTTCCCTCTCTTCTTTTTCTTTCCTACTCCCTGTTTTCTCTTTATGTACCCTTCTTCTTCTTTTTTCCCTTCTTGCCTTTATCTGTTTCACTTGTCTCACTATTGTCTCCACCGGTTCGCTCTTCTTTCCTTCCCTTTTTTCCCCCTCCCCTTTCTCTTTTTTCTTTCCTCTCATTCATCTTCGTTATCCTCTTTTCTCTCG